CTTGAACCCAGGCACCCTTGATCGCCCTTCCCGCTGCAAGAAGTCAATCAGAAAATGAGAGAGACTGGAAAGGAGTCGGTGGTGGCACAGTTACATACTTGTATTCTTCTGACCAGTCACTTCATTGTGCCAATGACAGTAGGGTTGTGCTTGGACCAGTTGGCAGCCTCCACTTCTGAGAAGCTGCAGCAGCAATCAAGTCCACCGTCAGATCTGATGCATGGAATAGAACGAATATTGCAGAATTTGGAAAACCCAGTGTTTTTATATAACTGCTGAGTTTTTAACCAGATGAGAATAAGAAAGAGCCTCACTGATGTTAGTCACCTTTGGATGAGGTATTTTAGGCAGAGAAACACAGGACTAGGAAGGGCCTCCCTCAGGTCCAGCCCATTGCGGACAATTTTGGTCCAAAAGGATCCAGAAGATTGTCTGACCCCTCCCACAAACACAGGTAAAAAGCACTGTAGGGACAACCCCCTGAAGCCTGCAGGCAAAGGACAGGAGAGGCAATGCTTGTCACTGCAGTAGCCGGAATTTGTTAGGTTGGTATATGCTCATGTAATCCTCGGAAAAGGAGAAAGACAGGGAAAAAACAAGCCCATAGTCCTTGAGAGAGAGGTAAGTCCTGTCCATCGCAGGAAAAGGTCATGAACACAAGTTAGCCAGGAAGGAGTGTGAGTTGTCTATGAGTGCAAGTGCCAACCCAGTGCAAAGTGGTGGAAAATAATCTACAATAATACACCGTAATAAAGCAAATGTAGAGATAATCAAGGTTTCTTAATAGACCCTCTGAAAGATTACATGGGCATGGGTTAGATCCTATCACCTGCGTGCGTACTAATCTCCATGGCGTTGATCTAGCTGTGCTACATCTCAGTTTTAAAGGGTCAAACTCTTGGTTGTTTTAAGCATCATCTGGTTGATGTTTGCCAGGGGTCACACTTAAGGTGGCACACAATAGACTTCACTTGTCCATAGTATGTCAAACCGGCAACAAGCAGGTTCAAAAACCTGTAGGGCTGAATTCTGTTGTAAGATCACTCCTAGTCCATAGGCAAGACAGCACCTGAACTCCTTCAGATTTTTGCTTTGGTAAAGATCCATGGGATTTGGCTAATTGTTTTTCATTCAAATTATCTTCTGGTTCAAACCAAATAAGTGCAAGAGGAAATGCTAAAACGCATGACAGAATTTGTGTAAATTTATTGTGAAAATGGTGGTAGGAAAATTCCTAATGAGATTTATCTGCAAAAGTCCTTCTTATTGCCAGCGATTGTGTTTTATCAGCTGGGAGTTTTCAACAAGCATGTCTGATTGACAGTGGTTGGGGGGGTGCTGAAGAAGAAACTTCGGTTTGGACCCTGAGGCTTTAATATAGCAAGGTGACCCCAACAAAAGAGGAGAATTAATGGTCTTCTGTTTTCCCTGCTCTCTTTCCTTGTTGCTACTTAAAATATTCCATTAAATGTTGATTCATTAGCTAATTATTCCCTGCGTTTGAAACAAAATATATAACAAAAATATATAACAAAAATGAAAAATTGATCTGATTAAAATGAAAATCATTTACAGCTGAGACAGTTACAGGATACTACCTTTTTTTTTCTCGAACTTTGATGTTTTTACTTAAGGAGATGTTTTAATAACAAGGTATTTAAAGCTCAACTTTTTGTGTAAAACATAATACAAGCTGCTTTGTGAAAAGTGCTGGACATTGACCTGCACGCATCGCAAGAGTTGTAAAATGTGTATTCACTTTATCCGGCTGTCTGAGACTTGTAGCTCAGTACATAACACCATAGCTGGCTACCCCCAGGCACGACAAGGGGTACTTGTAGATCATGGTATCTCCTGATCCAGCAATGGTAGATGATGTGGACTGCTATGAAACATACCTTTCTTCTAGAAAGAAGTTGGTTACATTTTCCAGAAGGCCAATAGATCTGCAGTCACCTTTCTATCAACAGTGAATAACCTCACTCCATCACTAAGGTTTGGGAACATAAGAATCAGGGCGTCTCAGACCATTTAGGCAACCATTGGCCCAGTGAGTCCTAAAACTCATATACTCCAGGCCCTGACATATAGCAACAAGGCATAAAACCAGACACCAAGAATCCTTTAGAGCATGCCAGAAGCCAGGGTTTCCATATTGTTCTTCTTATAAAGACTTCTTTTTACTGCACTATTTTCTAATCCAGGGCTGTAAGAGTTTAGCTAGGACAGTAGAGCAGAATCCTGAGAGTGATAGCACCTGGAGACCCCCAGCAGAATAAAAGCAGAATTACTCCCTGTGGGCACAAAGCTGTATGAAATACTGCACAGGCCTGCCAGACAGGTTTTTGCCTAAGTGTGGAGAACCACTGAATGAATAGAAGCTTGCAGAATGTATTTCCTCACTCATATATATAGATACACACACATATATACACATACACACACACATATATGTGTATATATAGCTATATATATAGATATATATACACGTGTGTGTGTGTGTATTTGTCTCCTCTTATATAGATTTGTTAAGGCTGGGAAAGGTAAGTTGTTCCATCAAGTGAGTTCACTTGTACCTCTTCTGAAACATCTGATGCTATCAGCATCAAAGACAGGATGCTAGATTAGACGGCATGCTGGTTTGATCTGGTATGGCCCTCCGGATGCTGTTAATTGAATGCAGTTCACAGGTGCTGCTTCTTTTCTGAACCAAACTCTGCCATTCATGAGAAATGTTTGTCCTTCTTTGTTTTGTCATGTAGCAAAGCTGTGAAATTCAGCTGTACCTTGCAAATTCAGACTCTATAATCTGTCAAGGTAAAGAATGTCTACTCCATATGCATATATTATGCATGTTAAACATGCACAAGCTACTGTACCCACAGCTATTTTATTTTTTAGTTTTCCTTTTTTTTTTTACAGACATGTTCTTTTATTTCTTCCAACCCAGTGAAGCACTTCAGGATATTTACAGAAACTGCAGACATGATTTCAGAAGATTTTTTGTTTTTCTTTTGTTGTGGCAGAAGTCTGCTGGTTTGAACAAAAAAAAAAAAATTCTGCAATCTGTTTTTTTTTTTCTGTACTACTTAATGCTCAGCATGATTTGCCACATAAAGGCTATATACTTCCATTTTCAATAGGCCACATGTACACTTTTCCTGTTTTGCATTGCTATAATTGTCTTTTTCCATTAAAGTCAAGCATGGACAGAAGAACCACATGCTAGGAATCACTAACAGGTATTTTAATAGACATGTATCTTGGCTTAGAGGTAAATAGCACAATAAGAGCTCACACCTGGCAGTCGCCGTGCAGAGCACACGCAACATGTAAATAGCCAGAGGGCCAAATTCTCACTCCCACCAAAGGCAGCCACTCAGGACCACACAGAATTGGTTCCTGTGTGAACATGGAGAATAGTTCAGTCAATCTGATGGAACCATGTCCCATGATTACTGTGTTGCAGCAAGTGATATATTTGGATATAAACTGTCTGACTATTCATTTATCGATGCAGCATCGATCTTTGTTATGACATGAATTTGCATTGTAGGGGTATGCACATGCATGTAGCTATCCAACCTATGTATCTGCCTGTATAATCGGAAGGGATCAGCATGTGCCGTTTATAACCGCAATAATAGCAATGTTCAGAGGGAAGACCAACAGTTTTCATGAAAGATTGGTTTCCTTTTCCTTTTTTCTCTCACTGGTGCCTAGAGATGCCCTTGTTTTATTCAAGCTCAAGGTTCAAAACTTCCTCTTCCACACCAGATCCTACCATTTCAGATTGACTAGCGATTCTGAAATGATCTAAGAGAACCTGGTTCTTCAATAGCAGGAAGGAGCAGTTTGCGTTCTGGAAATCAGGTTCCCTTGAGGCATCTCCAGTTGGGCACTAACGAGGTGTTTCTGAAAATGGAGGCCCATCCTATTTCAGCATAAGAACTGCCTCATCCTAAAGGGACTGGGTATATAATTCATCTAAATATACAGTAGTCCATTTTCTGGACTCTCCAAGCTTGCTCCAACTCCTATTGAAATCAGTGGGAGTCATCCTGCTGCCATCAGATGAGGCTTCTGTTGCCTATCTTCCTCCTTTGCACAGATAGTTACTGCCAGAGAGTTTTTAGCAACACGAGCCAGCTGTGCTGGGGTGATATATGCAAATAGAAATTGCTCCAGCAGCTATATTTACATAGTCAGGGAATGGGCAAGGATCTCCTACATTTGCCGGCTTGGTGTTCTTTTTTTTCCCTTTCTCCTAGAGGCAGGCAACCATCTGGCCGGGTAAATCAAGCCCTGAATAATCCTTTTGACTAGCAAACATAGCAGAAGTCCTGTCCAAATGAAATTTATCTACATGCTGATTTTTTGCAGGGAAAAGTCAGCGTAGTTACTATCTCTATTTCTTTCCTTTAGTTTGGAAAGCAGTAAGAAGATTATTTACTCTTAGTTAATCAGTCATTTGAGTTTCAATCATATTCCAGTCCTACAATAGGAACATTACTACTGTTTGTTGCACTTTGCAATAACTTTTTATTCAAGGATCTTTAACTGCTTCATGAACCGTTCCTGGCAAATTAATTAAACTCCCATAGGATTTGGGAGGTAAAGGGCCTATTTTACAGGTAGGTGGACAGAAGTCCAAAGGCTTAGTGACGTTCCTGCTGCCTCACCGTATTGTCTGATCTCGGGTTGGAGCCCAGGAAACAGGCCTCCTAGAAGAACATTGCTTCCCATTACCACCATTTTCACTGGTTGCCATCTCATTATTCACATGATATCCTGGAAAGGTTTAAATGATAAATAGTCCAAGAATTATATATTGGATTTTTATATTGTAAGCCATGTATTTCTTTCTTCCCAGATTTCAAAGCTATTTACTCTTATTTTTAACGTGAGGGGAATCTTACAAAATGGAGTTTTCACAGTGTTTCTTTTTCATCAACAAGTATACTAATTGGTCTTTCCAACTTTCTGTATCTTATCTTCAGGTAACCCACTTACCATTCCCTGCAAAGCGTTCTTTGGATTCAGTGGAGAATCACGCCCTGTGATCTACTGGATGAAAGGAGAAAAATTCATTGAAGAACTCGAAGGTCACATTAGAGAAGGTGAAGCCAGGTACGCTTTGAGGAATTCCCTTTGCTCTTAAGAAAATGGCATGTCCCAAAAGGGAGTGGTTAACCGGGTTTTAATTTGAACTGAAAATGATTTCCTTGTCTAAAAAGTGATGGATGATTTGGAACCAGCGCGACATGAGCTCATCCCCCTACTTACTTCTCAATAAATACTAAAGATACAGTGGGTCTCCATGTGCCTGAGGATATGTCACCAAACTCCCCAGGCTACTCTAGACATGCCTTCCTATGGTCTTGTTGCCCTGTGGGGTCAGGCTAACTCTCAGGATCTCAATATTGTGCTGTTAGACAGGAGGGTGTGACACAATTGCACATATACAAACACACAAATCAATTAGGTGCATACACACACACACTACCAGCTCAGGCACATACACATCCAAACCAGCCTAGGCACATGTATACCTA